GTTACGAATGTTAAAATGCTTTTATCCTTATAAGCCGCCTAACAAAAATTTTATTAAATTAATTATTCCTCACTGCAATCCTTTGCTCCTGTAATTTGGGTAATTAAAGCCGAGAATAAATGAATTTTACATTTTATTTTCCAAATTTTCATTTTGTTTCAAACAATTTTTGGTTATAATGAATTCATAGCAAATTTAATTGCACTCCAGTGGATATGAAGCACGTATGGACCACGTAATATAGCAGATATATTGTCGAATTATTTCACTGGGTTTTATTCCAAAAATATTTCCTAACGATATGAAGTAGACACGTTGTTATTTTATTTTAATTAATTGCGTACCGCAAACTAACAATTCTCAGCTTGTTTTAGATTTCGCATTTGAGATGTAAAACGAAGTAATTTAGAATATTAATTATATTTTCATTTTTTGGGATTAAATGAAATCATGAAGTTATTCGTATCATATTTGCATGGAAGATACCCGAAGTTTAAAGTATCTATAAATAGCTGGTGCCAGATTAAAATTTCTCGATGATATGCAGAAATACTCTCTAATGAGTTTCAGATATAATGCTTTCACTGTAATGCTTACGGGACTTGAATTTAATACTTGAAAAATGACGAGAAAAGAACGGTTTAATGTTCATTTAAAAACACGAAATGATTGCTTTTATTTCATTTTAGGAACAAATAATCTTCATTATATTTATTTATTGTGATATATATATACATATACCTATATATATATTGTAATAATGTACACATCCACACCAAATCATTAAAAAGGTTTTTAAAAATAAGGAAAATATCGACAAAAATATTTTCGCTAATAATTTCCACGTTCTTGACTTCGTTTGCTTACTTTTCCACATAATCGCAAGTCGTGATTTAAATATACGATATTCAAAGGCACTCAATAAACACTTCAATGAAGGCAGTATCGCATAGATACAATTTTCAGACTTTCAAAAATATTCACTGAAAGCAGTGGAAGAGCCAGCGCTTAGCGAAATGGAAAAATGTGGCGTTCCACAAAACTTTTCTGTGGTGTCTGCATGAAGAAGATTAATTTTATAAAATACAATGAGGATATGGAATGGCTTTTATTTGTTATAATTAAATTTCGTTTTCTAAAAGCTGTAAAAAATTCCAACAATACATTATCAAAAGTTACTTATTCAGTAGATAAGTAAATCTAACATTATTATTAATATTTGTTATCCGTTTCACTAAAATAAGACGACACTAGCTAAGTTAGATAAGTTAGATTCTGTAGAACTCTAGAATTATTTACACACACCCACATCAAAAAACATGATCCTTGTAATAAGTCACATCGTTCTATTATTATGAAAATGAAATCCTCAAAATAAAGTATGGAGGTATGTGGGTTTCGTCTAGATATTATACATAGTTATTGAAAAGCCTATAGCACAGGAACCAAGATCTATTCAGTTAACCTCGGAGTTTGTATATTCCACCACCTTTGCAACTCTATTTACATATCTAAAGCAGAAGTTTTTGCCTTTCTACATACTTGAAATAAAGAACCTCTGACCTTATCCACAAAAGCAACTCGGAAGTATATAAGATAATATCTTTTCTTACAAAACCGAGCAAGGACCGGTTTGCGCTGTCAAAAATGTTAGAGATCATGTTTACCGACACTATTATACATAGTTCTTGAAAAGACTATAGCACAGGAACCAGAATCTATTTTCTTAACCTCGGAGTTTGTATATTCCATCACCTTCGCAACTCTATTTACATATCTAAAGCAGACCATTTTTCGTTGGGTTGAACTGAGAGCAACTTCTCTACTTGTAATTTTAGTGTAGTATTTCTCAAAAGAACTGAAATCCGCATGCTTGGTTGATTATTGGAACAAAACTTAAATTTTTATTGGATATGCTTTAATTTAGGAGACCATAACCATTAACAAAAATGTGTTTCAAACATAGAATTGAAACTTATTTCAATTGTAGAATAACTAACATAAACAATACATGATAGATATGCTTAACAGAAGAAACCATTGAAGACAACCAAATTATGTTCTAGACTTTGGTTGCACCGGCGATCCCAATGATCTACAATTGCGTATTGGTCGATTGTGTCACCGTATAAAGAAAATTTAAAGGTTTCAAAATAACCTTGAATCATGGCAAAGCTTAAAATGCCTTGTAGTGGGAGGTTTTGGAGTTTCTAAAAATCCTCAAAAAAGAAGCCTATAAAATAGTAAAATGCTGCACCACATGGGTTTGACAATGACAAAGCAGATGTAAAACACTTTCATTGTCCTCTTCACAACTGCGGCATGGATAGTTATAAAGGAGATTTAATCTTTTAGCATAGTTCACTAATCGGTTGAGACTTGTAAGCACACCGTGCCTAATTTCCATTCATATTGTTGAATCTTTTCATCTTTTATCAAGATATGCCCAGATATATTGTGTGTCAAATATCTACCAGAAGCACCTCGTCTGGCTAGTCTCTCTATATTGCAATTGCAATATAGAAAATATACCTATCTTTAGAACCCAGCATATAGAGACATCAGACTGCGTCGATATCACGTTCAAAAATGTGAACCAAACAAAAACCGTCCTGGATTTAAACTGGAATTGACCCTAAGATTTTAAAATAGCTTGACAATCTGATACACTCCTCAAGAGCTATTACTTCTATCTGAAACACACCCCCTGTGGGTAAGGAATTAGAATATTGCTTGTCGTAAGTGACGACTAAGATTCCGGTGCTATGCCGACACTGTTCACAAGTGTGCATGGTAGTAAGTGACACGGCACTTGCGACACCCGACAGAAGGTGTAAAACTGATTCTACGGGGGTCAGGTGCCCACATCATCGACTGTGCTAACCAACTGAGGTTGGCAATGTTGTAGTGGCTGTAGTTAATACCAAAACTTACGCGGAAAGAATGATTGGCATTTATGTATCATCATTTGGCGTGGTGTTGCGTTTTCATAAACGGGTGCTGTGACGCAAAGATCAGCAGAGGTTGGATGGGGCTCGCTCCTTAACAAGGAGGAAATTGTGTTTAAAACATATAACTTCATTGGTGCTGACGAAAATTCATTAGAATTTCTAATGGATACAATTGATACAAGTGTCTGTAGAGCACCGTGGTGTTAAGCCTTAAACAACACTGTTACTATCTGAAACACAGCGTAATGATCGTGAAGACTATAGTGTATAGAATTATTCAGTTCTTTTGAAAAAGCTTCCTGTCAGCAATGCTAACTATTTTTAAACCATCAGTAAAAATGGTTACACTCTCCTCTAAAGAGGGATCTCAAGACAGCCGTATATCTCTAGATGAAATTCGCTTCAAGCTTCCTATCGAAATTGCAAATGCGAGAGGTGTAATTTAGAAAGAAGTCGTATCCGTAGTCACTAAATCCACATTGCGAATCCACTTAAAGTTAAGTCTAAAAGTAGACGATGCTGTCATTTTTTTACTAATAAGACCAAGTGATATACTCTAGACTTACTATACAGTCTTGTAGTGTTTAAAATGATTGTCACTATTACTAAGGCCTGTAAGTATCTTTACCAGTCGTCATTACCCAGCATAAAAAGATGTTTAGATTCTGATATATTTTATACATATTCTAGACTTTAGTTAGAATCGTTGATGCTAACAGTATGGCCTGTAGGTATCTACACTACTTTCCGTAAACCGCAAAAAATATATTTAAGTGTTTTAATTCTGTTCCTTTATACATATAGGTAAATCGTTATAATTGTTGAAAAGGTGTGATCCAAATATTCCGTTCTGGCAATGGATTATTGACATAAATTTCAGAGTCAACGTGAAAGTTAAGAGTATGCGTCACATTGTCAGTAACTGAACGTACTTAATAGTAAAATATTGTGGCATTTTATTAGTTTCTGTAGCCTCAACTAATAATTTCATTCATTGGGCTGCAATCTTAATAAAGAGCCAATTAGAACTACACAGCCAATAAGCTTAGGCTAATCGACCTTCTCTGATGTGATACCCTAAATTAAGAGGCGAAACAGTTTTCTTGCGTTATTCTTTTTGCAGGAACGTTCTTTATTAAGAGCAAGTAAAAAATGTTCAAAGCAAAAATGGAGCGCAATTTAAAGTGCTGTGAAGCGTTGTAGAAATATAAAAATTGAATAAAAAAACCAAAATATGTAGAAAGAAAAATATAAAAAAAATGTTTTTTTTTGGCACACAAATATAAAGAAAAACGTGGCAAAAACCAAATATTTCCTCTATTGCCTTACTTTTGGCGCACCACACACAGCCACAGCCACAGACACAAACCGAAAACCTTGCCACTTTTATGTTACTTTCTACAACATAAATATACCGAAACACGCCATACATTTATGTGCCGAACTGTATATGGTCTTGCGGCAGTCGAGGATTTATATCTGTGCATATCTATTTGCCAAAAAAGAAATTACAGTTAAGCAGCACAAAAAAGTGGGCTACATGAACTCGCATTTATCTCTATCTTACGCCAAAGACTCAATTCCGTGCTAGGAAAGGAGCCACGCACCCCACCATCGAGTCGCAGCCGAAAGTGTGTCCTTGAGTAATCCACAATTTTCTAGTTTTTTGCCTTCAATATTTTAGGTTATCTATTATTATAATTTTTTGTCTTATTTTATTTATTTATTTTTTTTTTGTTGAACATTTAAATACCCGAAAAAAGTAATAAAAATAGCCACCAAATTCCAAATAAGGACACCACACGCCACACAAAACGTGTGACAATAGCGCAATAGCGACTATTTACAATGACGGTCTCAAAATACAGTAACAGCCCTTGGAACCACTCACTGCTAATGTGGGTATATTATCTAAATGATTTCATTGAAGTATTCGCTTGAGCTGTTAAAATTTCTTAATACAAATATTAAAAATATTTATATATAAAACATTATATGTATAAACTTATAACTTGTAAATAATAAATATTGCAGTAGGTTTTGGCTTACCCTATTATGCATCTAATACAATATATCGCAATTGCATCGCACAGTTTGGCATTGCGATTTTAGTTTTATTATGCAATTTAACTTCAATTTATTTTTTACAGTGTATTGCAATGCACTTCAACTCTGCTATATCAATTCGAATATTAAAAAAAAAAATTATTTAGTTTCAGTTTTTTAATCGAAAATTTCAAGCACATTTCAAACACGTCGCATATTTCAAAAACAAATTAAACTCATTAACATATTTATTTATGTTCACTTGTCGACTGGAATTGGGTATGAGTCCTGCTCGTCCGATTTGTATGAAAGAAACTCCGCTACTGAAATCGTACTAAGGATGCTGCGGCATTTCATAGCATCATTCACAGTTTTTACTTGTAAAGCTTCACTTGTTTTGTTGCCCAAATGCTGTGCTCACAGTGAACAAATCTCTCAACACGCACGAATATCCCTGTCTCTTTGCTTCAAGCAACAATAGTGGGAAGTTTCAAGGGTGAAACACAGGCATTTGCTTTGACACAAATGTTGCGCAACATTTCTTAGCAACATTTGCAGTTGTTTTGGTTGCTAGAGTTTCTGTCGTCTTCCGCGTGAAACTCAGAAGCTTTTCATTGATTTTTTCCTCCTCGCCGCACTTATGCTAATGCTATCTCAAATGCTATGTGAGTGCATGAATGATGTTGTACGAGTTGTTACATACACACGCACATATACATTTAAATAGTGTCTCTTCCTTAGGAATTGTTTGTTGTTGGTGTAGGGGAGCGCAAAGTGAGTTTGTTTACATGTCAACACGCTACAGCGAAAGCGTGTTTAGCATCATTGTCTGCGACATATTTCTCATGGGCACGCCGTCATCATTAAGTAAAGCCTTCATGTAATGACTATTAAAGTAATTGTTTATCGCTGATGTGTTTGGAAATCGATGAAGGTAAAAGAATAACTACTGCATTGCGTCTTGCTCAAATATAGTTTTACCTAAATTAACTGAAATGGAATAGTCACAATGTCAGCCCACATACCAGATGATACACACTCGCAGGCACCAAACCCAAACGAAAATATGGGAATACTTTTAATAAGTATCCTCTTATTAATCCCCCAAAAATTAGACAATGTTCAACTATTTGCCACTTGAGCTCTATAATTGCAAGAAATTATTTCGTCATTATATGTGTAAAGAATATTAGTGAAATTTAACTATTAAAAACAAAAAAATATAATTAATTAATTGAAACTTTCACAATAAATTAACAAAATTCCAGAAAAATGTGCTAACATAAAAGTCAAGTACGGCTTTGAGTCAGTTGGATAAAGTGCGCTGACTCTGAGCTTCAAATTTGGCAGAGTACGAGTTCAATTCCTGGTATTTGCAGTCTCAAAAAATTATTTATGAATAATTGAATACAAGAATTATTTCCAAGACCACTCCCATGATGGGTATTTGACAATACTCGAAACAGTTGTATGGTCAGCCAAAAATTGAATTATTTAAAATAATATGAAATGATTTTGTTGTTATATGTTACTTCACTATTGTTCGAAAAACCTCTTTATGTAGTGCTTTATGAAATCTAGTTCTCTTAATTTTTTAAATATTTTGACAATATAAAATATACATTCAAAAATCGAAGTGTCTATCGAACATAAAAGTACTACATAATTTTAAAAATTAATATTGCTAGCAAATGTAGCAATAATATGTGTGAGGAGCATATTATATTCAACCTGATATCCAGCAATGAGAAGCCAAAAAAAAATAGCTTCAAATTGCTGCGAATCGATCAGTTTTTAGCCGTTGCATTAATCTGAAAAATACTATAATGTTTTAATTAATTTAGTTACAATATAAATGTGTCTTATAGAACTGCATTTTGATTACTCTTATTGAATCAAATTTCTGGTTCTTTCAACATCAATTCCAATATTTTAAATTTACGCTTTATAGGATATGATGTTACTTATTGTAAGCTATGCTAAGATATGCTATGCTGATAAAAAAACTATTATTCTAGGTCAAAATTTATTGGGTAGTAGATCGGTGATTTCAGTTTCTTCAAGAAAATATCAATCGTTGTCAAACTAAATAAAAAGAATATAAATTTTTTTAAAAAAACATTAAATATTTCCCATTTTACATATTTACTAATTATTTTATTTTTTAGAAGACAAAGTCATCACCCTTATTTAAGATTAGTTAATCCGCAATAGTTCCCTTGTTCGCTCAAATAATTTATCAGCGTCAACTGCCGATGAAGATAAAATTGTGTTTTCATATATCTTGTATGATAATCGTGATTATGAGTAAAGTATTATTAATTTTACGAAATCACTTATTATGGCAGTATTTTGGCAGCACTGTTTTAACGGCATACGTCAGATAAAACTGTCATCCCAGGCATTCCATATATAATACAAAGTTAAAAAATGTGAAAACTTCTCTTGAAAACAGTGCTTCTGTAAGGAGTACGTTTTGCATCGAATTGTCATTAGTGATGAGACTAATTTTTTCCTTGGTGGATATATCAACGAAATATGTTTTGGAATCTAAAATAGTGATGGTCGAAAGCTTATTGCATTAATAAAATCACTGTATACATCATACTATTAGTCCTGTAGTTCTTTGAAAATGACAAAGGTATGACACCATCCGTAAATTGATTGGAACAGTCACAAGACTCCTCTTCCAAGCCATATGATGCCACAATGGCTTCAACAAGCCATTAAGACGTCCTGTTTTGGCTTTATTGTATTCTAAGGTTTTCACACATGATTTCCCATTTTGATGGCTTTAATTAAAAAATGGGATTTGTCACCACTAAATTTTTTTTTGTGGGGCTACGAAGAAGACCCTGTTTATGCAAATAATATTTAACATCTGACAAGTGCCGGAAAATCATTGAAAATTGTCTTAGAAAAATCCAGCACTGTGAGATGTCTCTTGAAGGATATTTGAAGGATGTTGTGTATTAAAGTCACCAGCAAAGTTCAGAGGAAAAGTTTGATTGATTGAAATCGATTTTTTATTTGCAGTTATCCATACATTTTGGATGGAAAGTCAATCATATACCGCTAATTGGGGCGATCTCCAGTAATAACTTTACTGTTTCGATTTGAAATTATTTTTTTAAATTCAAATGTTTAATTTAATCTTTCGTTTTTTTTTTAAACGTAATTAATATAAAGTATTTACTAATGTAAAAAAAAATTGATGTATATTTTTATATCCGCCTTTGGAACGATGTTTTGGATAGGTGTTTTGGATAAAAACAATCAAACCTTTGTCGTAGGTTGGAGTTAAAAGTATCACAATCATTCTAAAGTTCGACTGATTACGTGCATTCAAGTCTAGGAAGACGTGTATATATCGGTGTTACTGCTTACGTACATTCGATTTAAATATTGATGTCTATATCGTCGTTATTTTATTTACGTTAACCTAATGATTTGCTCAGTTTTATTTAGGCACAACAGTGACTGAAGCCTTTCGTTTTCTGTGTGAGTTTCCTTCCTTACAGACGTCATGCATCATTGTCGATAATCCACCTGAAAAACATCTAATTGCTGCAAGAAGACTCTTGAGAAGACTTTAGAAAATTTGTCGAAAAGTATTTATAAGGTTCACTGTTCACTGGAAAAAAAATAAAATTTTGGAATAAAATCGGTGGCTTCATTTTTTTTACTTAACTTCATGCAATGGTATAAATAATTTCTGGTTGCGTATATGAAATGGTCTTATTATGTGAAAGCCAGCTTGCCCGGAATATTGTACATGTTGTCAATGATTTGCATTCATTATTAGCTAGGTACAGAAAGTGAATATGGCTGTCCATAAAATCCAAGAAAGACTAAACTATCTGCTATTTCATTCTTTACATGACTAGAATTCATATAGGAGTGATGTCTTCTTACAAATTTGGATTCAACAGTAAAGGATTAAGGCGCTTTGGTTGCCACTTGACTGTGAATGAAAATGGCAAGCTTATATTTATTCTTGTTGTGTTTCGTAATTAACCGAAATGACTTCTTAATCGCCAAGAATTCGGTAGATAGTAGTCCAATGTCAGAGACGACAAGCAGATAGTGTATGATAGAAAAATTTATTATATATTATTGTACCAGATCTAACAAAAAAATCTATTAAGTATATCCAAGACAAGTTACGTGTTAAAATCATTTAAGTGTAAATTGCAAAAAATGTATATGGCAATGTCAAAGAACAATGTTTTCGTGTATTCTTTGTTCCAAACGTCAAACTAAATGAAATTATTTCTGTCATTACTTTTAGGGATATTCATATATTTTATTTTGGTTGATGAATAGGTTACAAAAATTTCTCCGATAAAATTTTTTGTCAAAATTATTCCATAAAAGTTTTTTGTCAAAATTCTTTTCTTTCAAAATAAAATTGAAAATAACGTCGAATCATTCACCTCACTTCTATTTATCGGCTTCCATAAATTTTCGTTCAAATAAATTATAAGTGAAAATCCACTTATTAATCAAAAAAATGAATACATCTGAGGCGTATGCAACTAAATTGTTCGACGAATTTTGTAATGCAACTACCTCGCATCAAATTTTTGGCATACATAAACAAATCTGTGATGACTTCTATATTCGCCCTTCAGTCATTAACGAATTTCTCCCAAAGATAAAAAAAATCTTTAATTCATGGAAAGCGAGGAACTTGTGGAATATATTGAACGTGCGAACTGACCACACTGTATACGAAAATGGAAATGCTTGCAGTGGGACACGAGTATTAGTCGTAGGTGCAGGACCCTGCGGTTTACGTACGGCTATAGAAGCCCAAATGCTGGGAGCGAAAGTCGTTGTAATAGAAAAGAGAAATCAGATAACGCGTAATAATGTGCTTCGCCTGTGGCCGTTCGTAATAACAGATTTACGCAATTTGGCTGCAAAAACTTTCTATGGTAAATTCTGTTTGGGGTCCATTAACCACGTCTCAACACGGCAACTGCAATGTATATTACTTAAAATAGCCCTGTTATTAGGTGTTGAAGTACATGATTGCGTCGCTTTTGAAGATCTGATTGAGCCCTGTGGGGATGGTTGTGGTTGGAAAGCATCTGTTGTGCCAAAAAATCATGTTGTCTCGCAATACGAATTCGATGTTCTAGTTGGTGCTGCTGGTACACAATTCATTCTAAAAGACTTCACAAGAAAAGCATTAAGGGGCCAATTAGCGATTGCAATAACTGCAAATTTCGTAAATCAGAGAACAGAAGCTGAAACCAGGGCTGAGGAGATAAGTGGTGTGGCGAGGCCATTCAGGCAGGCGTTCTTCAAGGACTTATGTCGAAACACAAACATTGATTTGGAAAATATAGTCTACTATAAAAATGAAACGCATTATTTTGTGATGACGGCAAAAAAACAAAGTCTGATCGATGAAGGTGTGATTCTGAAGGTAAGATAGATATTTGCAATTGAGTGACAAATATTTTTTCACCAGATTTTTTTTTTATTTTATAGAATTTCGTTGATCCAGTAAAACTGCTTGCTGGTGGTAATATAAACAGAGAGAAACTATACGATTATGCTCGGCGAGCTGCTGAATATTCCACACATTACAGGATGCCCAACTTGACATTCGCTACAAATCATTATGGTAAACCGGATGTTGCTATATTTGACTTCACATCAATGTATGCTGCAGAGAGCTCCTGTCTGGCGAAAGTACGTAATGGCTTCCGACTTTTAGAATGTCTTGTGGGAGATAGTTTGTTAGAACCATTCTGGCCGACAGGCTCAGGAATAGCACGAGGGTTCCTGTCAAGTATGGATGCAGCATATGCTATTAAATTGTGGAGTGATAAGCGCAAAGATATATTACAAGTTTTGTCACAACGAGAAAGTATTTATAGGTTAGTAAAATTAAGCATATTTATGAAACTCTCAACTAAAATATTTTACTTATGCATAGATTATTAAATCAAGCAACTACTGACAATCTGCGACGCGACATTAATGCATATACTTTAGATCCAGTGACCCGATATCCCAATTTAAACCTCAATGCTGTAAAAGAATTCCAAGTAGAACATCTTTTGAGTACATATGACACAGCTATTTTGGAGAGTACAGAGAAAATCGATGTTATTGAATCATTTGAGGTGGCGTCCGATGATTTGGAAGAACTAGAGGAAATCGAGATTGTTGAACCGTTTGAAATGGTAGAAACATTTTTGGAGGAACTAGAGGACGTCGATGTTACTGAGTCGTATGAAATTGTTCCGACTTGCAGAAAGTCAATAAGTACTACTGGTAAGTTTAATAAATGAAATCCTACAAAATATTTTAAATTAAACTCGTTTTTGAATTATTTTACAGACATATCGTCAATTGTCGAATATATTCCTGCCGAAGACTCTATTATAGACGTTGCAGAGTTGCACGATAGATATCAAGAATCAACTGAACTTGATAATATAGAATTAGAAAGTGCTGTCAGAGAAATTGATGTTACAGAATCCATTGTTTCTAAAAGTAGTAGCGCTTATAGAATTGATGAGAAAGTGAAATATAAATCTGTAAGTTTGGTAAATGATTTAATGGAACAAACACCAGAATTTGTTGATTCATTGAATGGTATTCCTGAACAAGTTGAATACAATTCTTTGAATTTAGAAAATATTTTTATTGAACAAGTACCCAAATTTGCGGACACTCTCTTTATAAATGAAGAACACTTTGTTGCTGAAAAGAAGGACTTAATATTCGGTGATTTAAGTGACTTAATTGAGCCGGACTTAGGTATTGATGAAGAAGACATAGAATCAAGTATTGCGAACTTACCTCAAAAATCAAAATCTGGTTTATACCAAGGAATCAAGGATATTATGGGAATTTTGGCCAAACCAATGGCATTATTATTCTTTACTCTGTGTTGCGCGTACTATATGTGGAAGTGAGGTCTGGTTGATTTTTGCGTTAAACCATCTTTTTACGAGCATAATTTAAATTTTTACTATCAATAAGAGACATTTATCATCTCTATATATTGCATGCTGAGGTTCACTAAACGCAGATATCCAGTACTTAGTTATTGACAATGTATTTGGTCAATACTCAATATCACCAATCTCAAAGATGGCTTCAGTTTAAGTGAATAACAAGCAGTTTCTTTTTGATATCTAAGTACAAATACAATCTAATGCATGAATATGGAAGTTCTTGAGAAGTTTGCGGAAAAAGATTTGCTAACTAGTATTGTCACTATAATTGGTTGTTGAAAGAATTGTTCATAGTAATAATTTTCAATAGAATTTTGATTTTAAATTTTTATCACAATATTTTGGTAAATAACATAGTACATTTTTTTTTTATTACTTTAATTTAATTACTTTGTGTTCCTGTACATAACTTTCATTTCAATTACATCCTTTATAAATAAGCACATAAAAATTTTCGGACTAAATTTAAGGAGAAATAAACACTATTTAGAAACCATAACATGTAAAGCTTTTTATTGCTATGGTAGGGTTAAGTTTTCACAAAAGTCTCATCTTTGCATATTTGTCGCAAATGTTTCTTACAAGAAAGAAAGAAATATTTGTACTATAACTTTTTAGAACAGATTTTACTGTTTAACAGACGAGCAGCTTCTTTTATAGGAAGACCACATCTGTCTTTCACTACCACAACCACTTCCACTATCTTCCTCTGATGGATTTCATAAGTTCCAATATTTCTTACAAAAAAGAAAGCACTGAAGATCAGCTTATTTTATGGAAAGACCACATCTAGTGGCAGTGGTAGTGGTAGTGAAAGACCATTATCCATTATCTTCCGCTGATGGATTTTATAAGTTTCAATATGCTTAACCACAACCAGTTTCCTTAAATTGCTACAGAAAAGCAATAAAATAAGAAACATAATTTTCTAATGAATTTAAAATGAAAATTTTGCTTACATTTTAACTTGATTTTGTTTTCATAATCAAATCAATTTAAAACCTTGCCAAGGGTGCGCTAGTAAATAATTTCAAGTCAACTCTCAAGCCAATCCGAGTCGGAATACTACCATGTCTGCTTCCACTTCGTTGTTCTTTGGTTCATTTAATTTTTGCTCTCTATGCAAACCTTTGTTACAAGGTAAGTAAATAAAATTAAATTTTTTTGACTTTCAACGTCTTCATCAATTACAGCTACCGAAGCCACTCCCGCTCCTGCCAACTCTCCTACCAGCTCTCCTGTTACTTTTGCTGTCATTGCAAACTTTTTACATAGATTCACTTGTAGGAAGCTGCAAACATCTTACAACAAGCACAGTTAACTAATCAAACTAAATCAGCATTTCCGCTTCTGGTTGGTAACCAACATGAAGGAAACTATCATCACTTGCAGCTATGAACCGGCAAGTTATTAAATGTTCTTCACTAAACTCAATATATTTGAACCTAAATAATTACAGTTGTACTGACAAAGTGTTTCCTGCTATTTCCAACGGATGACATGCTCTCTGCTATCCGTGAAATAGTTAAGAAGAAGCAGCCTAAACTCATAGTTGGGAGTTGGGAGTTGGGACTTACATTGATGATTGAACAGGTATGTGTGTGTTTGCCTTTGAGTTTGTTTAGAAATTCACTTTCACTTAAAATGACATTAGACATTAGTAAAGTTATTAGATGAGACTTAATAAATTAGTAAAAAAAGCAGCAATTTCCTTCCTTAGCAATTTCATTGCCAAAAGATATTAATAGTTTAAGTATTTTAATGATCTATTAAGTTTTGTTACGAAAAGCATATATCTATATGCGTATATAAAAAATAAGACATACCATTTACATAAAGTAAGAGTCAATATCATGTTGTTAGAAATTTTAAACTCCATATAGAGCAGTAACTCGATTTTCGTGTGTGACGAAAACCTGGTTCAGATTGTCGTAAATTCCGAGTTCTGATTTTCCATTTAAAAATTAAATTAATTTTCGTAAATTATGTATGTTTAGAACTTTAGTATTAAAGTTTAATATTACGTATTATATTTTACATTTAAGTGTTTATTTTATGTGAAATTACAATTTCAGTAGATTTACTTGTTTAGTTCTGCATTGACTCCGTTTCTAGAGCGTCAAAGTACCATTTAACCATATAATGCTTTGGTCCACACATTTCACTCAAATATTGAACGTTGATGTAGTCATCACCGGATTAACTTTTCTCAGAGGGAGTATCATGTTGTCAGTTTCTTCAACACCAGTAGCACCAGAACGTTCGTAGAAAAGTTTTCGGTTAGTGGGGTGAGATTCAAATTAGGTTCAACAATCTAATGGTATTGGTCAATCCTAAAATGAGGTAAACCAACTGACTTAATTCAATTAATTTCGTCAGTACAGTACATCCTCAACTTTGTTTAATAAAGGATATGTAACACAAAGTAGAGTGTACCTAAGAAGTGACAAGTAACGTGCTCTAAATTTTCGATTATCACAAGAACTGAGTAAGGAATACTCGTAAAGAAATTTTTTATACCGCAAGTAGTAAATAAAAATAAAAAAATATATTGTATTTTACATATACAATATACAATATCTGTAACATATTAACATAATACTAGAATGGTTAGTAAACTCTTCATTTATAATTACGATATTACTTACAGTACTTGCTATTTGCTATGTTTCTTTTATAAGACTATCAGTTTCATTAGACTATCGATTCATATTGGATCTGAAATGATGAAATTTTATTTAAAAATATTTAATTCCATTTGAAAAAATGACAAAATATGCAAAACTTGCCTAAAAACTTAAGAAAAAAAGTAATTTGCACAAACTAAAAGAAACATAAGTTCATAAATTTAAGCTCGACAAGTAACATATTACCATCAACTTACTATATAGTAGTTTGGCTCCTTTTTGTTATTGTACCTACTACATAAAAGTTTTTATTAGACTAAAGTTATATTTTGACATGGAGAGCAGCAGAGATGCTACCTAGTACTATTGTATGTTCATTTTTCGAACAACGAACAAGCATATTCAGAAAAAGTTGGCTTGTCCTGATGACATTTTAATTAACAGAAAACTTTCAGCCGCAAATGAAAAAGGGGCATAACATAAAATAAATGAAACCCAAAGCAAAAAGAACAAGGAGTGTATGAAAAAAGTGTATGAAAACACGGTGGAAAAGTAAAAAGAAAAACGTACCAAAATCATACGTCTACCGTAAACGAGCTTGGCTTGCACCAAGGACCGGCCGACCATTTGGGTTTACCCAGTCCACCAATTCCTGCTGCAACAATGGCTGTTTAAAAAACAAAGGCGACTTATGTGTGGGCACAATTTTTAATGAATGTGTTATTCGCGCTGTGCGGCAGCATAGCAAAGAGGTTGCCACACATTTTACACATTTTTTTCACTTTTTGCCCTGTTATTCATATGGCATTTGCTCACCATAAGGTAGATTAATTTGAACCGGAAACACATCTACAATGAACACATAGGCACGTGTATGACCACAGCATAAAATGTCTCTCATGTTGCAAATATAACATGACGGGAAAAGTGTCATGACTACAACAAAAGGAAAAATACAACAAAGCAACAACAACTTCTGCTTTTCCATACAAACTCAAATAAAAATTCTAATAACAAATTAAATGTTAAAAAATAAACAACAAAAAATATGTTTGAGAGGATTTCATAAGCAATTACAACAGTCGAAATCTGCTACAATGTCATGTAATATAACATATGGGACACCTACAAAGATTTCAGAAAGGGAAAAATAGAAAACAAACCAAAGTCTACTATATAGATTAAATATAGTAGACGATATATATTCTCAATACTTGTTACATGCTTATAGTTTGCATATAAACTATATTACGTACTTAGTTAGTGGGCCGTTACAGGCGTGCGTCCGCCTATATAATTGGTCACCGTACTTATATGATATAGATCGTTCCTATGCGTACGAGACCATAAATCTTCTGAAAAGTTTTCCTCTAGTGTTCTTGAGGCTTTTTCAATACCGTCGGTTATTGTCTTAGCTTCGGCGTCACATAGTAGGACAGGCATAATAAGAAACTTGTAGAGCGAGGTTCTGTTTGGCGAGTGAATGTTTCATTTCTTAATTATTGAAAATTTCTAGGTGTCGTGCTTCCTCAGACGCTCGGGAAATTTATTTGTTTATAGAATTTAGTTAGTTTTTTCCTCATTTACCACAAGAGATTGAAGGAGACGGAAATGAGTTTTAAAACAATTTAGAAAATTTTAGAACAATTTTTAAATTTAAGACAATTTTGGAACATTAACACTTGAACGTTTTAGTAGTATTGGTATAATTTATCCACTAATCTAATTAAAAAAAAAATGAGAGACTTGTTTACCAGAATCTTCGTTTTAAACATTTCACAAATTTACTAGTTCAATAACCACATTGGTGAACATTTTAAGATCTAATCAACTTTAAAAGGCTTCAGATATTCTCTTTATTGGATTGCTTACCCTATTGATTTTTGAATACCATGCACTCCCACTTTCTCACTATTAATACACAGATTTTTAAACACAGACAAAATACGAAAAAACTACGTGAAAGGCTGTCCCTTCAACAGATAATATTTTGTTTCTAATATAAGTAATATGGAATTGAAAATTTACTAACAGTATTTGGTGAAATCAGTTTTATATAGAATTTTACAAAACAAGCTAAGGGCAAACTACTATGCATTGACTCTACAAAAGCGGGATTTCGAAGAATGTTCCGATTTTAAAATAATTTAAACAGTTCATAATATATAATTATTTAACTTAAACCCAAAAACCAAAGTATAAGTTTTATGATAAGTTTTAATAATCACTTATAACGCACACATAAAGTCCCTTTTTAAATTCGCTTATAAATTTCCCAATATTTTTCATGTTTCGCCGAAACCGTATATGCCCCACTTTTAATGTAGCTCTGTTAACGAATTGCTGCACTTCTCAATGGAAATGCACATCAACCGCATGGCTAACTTTTTCAACAGCGGAAACTCATGCAAACTCGTTCAACATTTCAAATAAAATAATTAAAATTACAAATCCTCTTAATTACACAAATTAAAACTATTGGAATGATTTTCAACAGAAAACCTTCAATCATTTGTTTACCTTTACGGTTTTTAGTTATTTTTAATTAGTGGTCAAAAAGTTTGTGATCAATCATATAATTGCAGAATTTTTAGTCTGAATTTGAAATGATAAAGGAAAGCAATGGAAACCAACTAACGGGTGGCAACCCCCTGAGCTATGTGCGCAACCATTGCAATCTCACAACAAACATTCGCTTCATATGCAAACTGTGCTCTGCTGTAGGAAAACATTTCACAATTAATTTATAAAATAAGTTTTTATTTCTAATACGTTTTGAAATGCATCAAGCTGCTGCAACAAATGCGTGGAAAGTTTATTGGTATATCGATTTTTAATACAGGGGCTTGAGTCCGATTGAA